TCCACCGCAGTAGAATGGCACGTCTTGCTAGCAGTGTGAGAATGGAAACAAGCTCAGCAAAATAAGGCAGCAATAAGAGGCCAATGGGTAGGACGCCAAACAGGGCGAGTAATGATGAGGGGTGAATTGGCAGATGTGATGGCTGAGAGGGTGTCAAAAACGCTTAGCCAGAAAAGAGCAACGGTAGGGCAAGACCAGAACATGTGACTGAGATTGGCTGGACTTTGGTGACATTTGTCATAGATTGGATCGATGTCAGCTAGATACGGGCAAGCTTACTGTTAGACCAGTGAACTCTGTGAATCACTTTGCACTGTAACACTCCATGGTGAGCACAGACTCGACTCAGGGTATAGCCCAAAGTGCCGCCTGAACTGGTTCCAGATTCTAAGGCAGTTTTTCACTTACACACTTCTGGAGTGTGCAGTTGGTGAAGAAGTCAGGGGGAGGCACAGCAGGGACATCCTCTGAGGGACTACACGAGGCTTCCTCAACCTGCAGCCATGGTGGAGATTGGCTGTTGGTGTGGCACCAGTGCAATATTGTTCTAATGTTTGCAGCCCCATAGTAGAGCAAAAAGTTGGGCCGAACTGTTTAGGTTTTTGTAGAATTTCTTTTTTAATTTTAGGGGTGCTTTTATTCCAAATAAATTGTGAGATTAAGCTATCAAGAGAGTGGAAAAAGGGTTTAGGGAGGAAAACAGGTATGCACTGGAAAAGATACAAGAACTTGGGAAGTACATTCATTTTAATACAATTTATTCGGGCCAGCGAGAAACTGAGGCAAGAGGACCACCAGTGGATGTCTTGGGATAGTCTGGCTAAAAGAGGGGAGAAGTTATATTTAAATAGTTCTTAGTTGGTTTTTGTCACACAGACACCCAGATATTTAAAGTGCTCCAGGGACGTTCGGAATGGTAACTTTGAAAGGGGATAGGCGTTGGCCGCTGCTCTAACTGGCATAAGTTCGCTTTTATGCAGATTATATTTATAACCTCAGATACGCCCAAAGTCTTTCAACACAGTACAAGGGGTATAGATTTGTCTGGACAAGAAAGAAAGACCAAGAGGTCATCAGTGTACATAGTTTACTATTGAATACTTCAGCACTGTATTTGTTTTACATTTATGTTTAAATTAATAGCCAATATTTACTTCTGTTTGTAAGAGCTGTTCAGGTATCATGGAAAACATATGTATAAGGTGACATTGCAGGAGTTTGTGTTGGCTGTGGGAGCTGTTATAATTCAGCTTCCATTCAAAGTCCTAAAAACTACAGTCCACGTCCATTTCCTGTTTAGTTTTTGCATGAAAAACTTTAATTTTTTGTGAAGCCCATGAGTGAGTTTACATGTTCCATAAGATTAGTTGCTACTCAGAATATTGTCCTAGATATAAGACTGAAACAGGGAGTTGTTCAGGACATGTAGATGTCTAGGGCAATAGTGGAGAGTGATCTTGGAAAATAATCATGGGGGTGGTGTTCCCAACCAACCCAAGACTTATATTACTGGGGGACCTCTCGGTCTTACAGTCAACAGTTTTAATTATATAGCACTGATTCACATCAAAAGTTATCTCATTGCATTTTTCATATAGAGCAGGTGTAGACAGTACACTTCTTCTCTCTCCTTCTGTCACTTCCAGGTGTTTCTGGCTCTGGAGCTGTGGAGTCTGGATCTGTGGTTGTGAGTCACCTGCTGCCCCCATGTTCCTGCTCGACACCCTCTGCTACAATTATGTATAACTAGTTGCACTGTTATTATTATTAACATTACAATTATTATCATAAACATTACTATAAATCTGTACCATTATTCATTCAGTCTTTAACAACATTACCTTTACTGTCTGTAACTGCTGTGTGTGTGTGTTGTGTAGGCTGCCCCCCATCCCTCTTTATGGCTACATCTCTGTCTCTCTCTCTCTCCCTCACCCACAACTGGTCGAGGCAGATGGCCGCCCACCCTGAGCCATGGTTCTTCTCGAGGTTTCTGCCTCTTAAAAGGAAGTTTTTCCTTGCCTCTGTCGCCTAGTGCTGCTCTTGGTGGGAACTGTTGGATTTCTGTAAATAACATACATGAGTATGGTCTAGACCTGCTCTTTCATGAAAAGCGTAACACTCATTTATGCTGAAAAAAGACATGGATGCAAATCTTGGCAGGTAGCCTACATCATCTGTTCTGACGAATAATACATCCACCTCTTAAGGTCCTTTTCAAACACTGATCAAATCAAATCATCACCACATATTTTTGCTGAATCTCAAGAAATGCTAGTTATCACCATTGATTAACCCCACAAAGAATATTATAGCGTTTAAAAGCACTATTTGTAGGGGAATGCCACTCTCGGCAGGCAAGCAAAAATTGGTGCCATCTGCCTCGGCAGCTTTTGTATAGCCATTTGCTTCAGTACAATTCCATCCATAAGTAACACAATGACAGAATGTATGACCGTTTTGGTCATGGGTTTCATATATTTGTTATAAAACATCTAAAAGCAAAAAGCCTGGGACAAAATCCTATCAAATGAGATCTGTGGTCTAATTTGTGTCAGTTAAGGGGGTCTTGATGTGAAAAAAAGAACCATATATATTTACTCATTTAGCTGACACTTTTATCCAAAGCAACTTACAATTGCTATGTCAGAGGTCGCACACCTCTGGAGCAACTAGGGGTTAAGTGTCTTGCTCAGGGACACAATGGGGGATTGAACCCAGATCTCTCACACCAAAGGAAGGCGTCTTATCCATTGTGCCATCACCACTGCTATAAACAACTAAAGATCTGGGTAAACCACAAAAAAGACTGACTGCCATGCAACTTAGGAAACAGAATAAATATACTTTGTACTGCATGCTTTGTCCTGTTAGCATGTCTATATGCTGCACCAAGTTTCATCTCCCATTGTTTTGGACATTAAAGTGAGGAGAAAGAAAAACTGGTTGTACTGATTTAATTTCACCTTTATTTGTGGTGAAAAAGTACAATCTCAATAAATATTCAACGCTTTAATAATTTCAGAACGAAGTATGTTATCTTTTCATATCAAAACATGCGTTAACTTCATTGAAATGTAGTATTCCTAAGTGGGATTTTATAGAATACAGAACATTTCTGCTTATCATGTGCTTTTACAAAGCTTTCTTTGCTCTGACAGGAAGGTGTACCATAATTTAAACATAAATAAATGCATACTGCACAACTTCAGTAGTAGCCTAATACAAGACTGCATACTACAAACACAATTTGTGCTAAAGTATTCAATAGTAAACTATGTAAACTTGTACAGAAAGGTTTAGATGTAGTAGAGTCCAGTGGGCCAGCAGAAGTAGCTCAGAAAGCAGTGCTGCAAGCTGGGAGTCCAGTAGCAGCTCAGACAGGAGGAGGCCAAGGTGCTGCTGAGAAAAGGGAAAGGCTCCTTGATATAATGTAGAAAATCCTCTTCACGCCAATCCCGTAATCATACAACAGAAACACAGTGCAGTGACATCCAGTTTGGGCAAGGTACTCAGAAATTGTAATATATAACCAGTTACTTATTACTCCTCAAAACAGCTCCTCAATCAAAAATTATTTTAAATAGCCCACACCTAGTAAAAAAAATTTGAATAGCAATATTTGGCGGCCCTATCCAAATTATAGGCCTTTTATGGGAAACACTGCTTTCACGGCCCTCATGAGTTTCTTTCTGTAAGCTGTGCTGCTTCAGCAGATGCTTCAATAAATCAGATGTAGAAATGTTCGTGGTTGAAAGCTTTTTGCTGGTTGCACAGAGTTTACACTAGAGGACAATGTTCTTTGCATCTTTGCATCTTAGACTGTGACACAATAATGGCAGGAGCTATTTCTTTATACAGTGTATGGTTCAGTAACAGTAACGCAGTGTTACTTGCCTTAGTAACTGTAATAATATTACTGTTTTAGAAAAGTAATTAGTTACACTACTAGTTACTGGGAAAAACAATATTATTACAGTAACACTTTTGACATCATGGTTTACTGTCACTAAGATAATGATCATTCTGCACTGATCTGTCAAATTATCCTAGCCTAGTGATTTTATCACTATATACCTAAATGCTAACTGATCACCGGACAGCGGTAAATGGAGGCAAGAGAGTGGTATGCTAACTCCAGTTGTAGAGGGAATAACCAATTATTGTGAAAATCATAAAATCTCTAGGTGAACTAAATGATTTAATATGAGCTTGTTACGTTTAACATGGGCTAACGTTACATAGCTAACTTACCACAGGAGACACAAAGTTAGCAAACTGTTGAAACAAGGCTACAGTCCTTTTCCTTGTTGTCTCTACAGATGAGGATGACGCTAGCTAGTGACATGCAGAGGGCTCTGGTGCCATGAATATCCTTTCAAATCACGGGAGAGAATGTTGTTCCCACCTGCTGGTGTACCCAGTAAATTGCTCTCAAACAGATCTCTGTTTACACATCTCAGCGGGACAGATTGGACAAAATTCCACAAATGTGTGAAAAGGAAGTTACAAATGTCACGTGACAGGAAGCAATCCGCAAATGTGTAAAAACAGTTTTGTGTGTAGAAATGTATCCACAAATGCATAAATCACACTTTGTATGTGAAAAAAAAAGACCTTTGTACAGATTTAATTGTGTGTATTTGCAAATTGTGTGATATTTGTGTATATATTTATTTACAGATCTCTGCAGTACACATTGGACATAATTACACAAATGTGTAAAAAGGAAGTTACAAATGTAAAATGAACCACAAATTCACACGAAGTAATCTGCAAGTGTGTGTGGCAGGATGAGGTTTTCTTTCCCTCCCTCTTACCTGTGTACTGGAAGGCGCACCAGCACACCTGGGGCTCATCCCCTTTGATTGGGAGAGGTGGGGAGTTGCCTTTTTAAGCCTGTGTGGTAGACTCATTTGGGTTTCTGTCTTCTCCTGTTGGGTGTGGAGACGTGTCTGGGCTGGCGTGCTGCACGTTTGTTGCCGTTGCCAGAGGTTGTTAGTTTACTGCGGAGTGGTAAGGAAGTCTTGTTTTTTTTTTTTATCTTTGTGCCTTTCAGTGTTTGCATTGTTGGGCGGGTGGCACTAATGAGCGTTCTCTCATAGAGCCGACTTTGTTTCGGCCGTGGATATTCCCCGTGTGGATAGATGAATACTGGGCTGCTGGCATTGGGTATCTCGGTAAGCTGCATGCCTCCCTCTTCGTCCTATTTGGTGTTTATCAAGATCTGATAGTCTTATTTGTTATAGTTGGGTGCTGTGTGGATTGCTTGCCCCCCTGCTGGGGTCTGATGGTGGCATGTCCCGTAAAGCGCGGGACCGAGCAACAGCCGTGTGCATGCTGCTGTCGAGGCTGATGGGTGCCACAGTTATCTAAGAGGTTAACACTCCCCGGCGCGTTTCTCCTACTCTTGCTGTTCTGGATATCGGTATAAAACTCTGCTGTGTATTGATACAAACAGTGTCTGGATATGACTGTCCTGGATGCACAGAACTGGTTTGGAGTGATACGTTTAAGTGTTTCAATATCCAGACATTGGCTCTGTAAATATTGGCATTAACTGGATGTATATTGCATGTGGGTTTGTTTGGGGGGGGGGGTTGATTTTGATCCTTTAATTACGCATGCAGGTTTGTTTTTGAATGGTTGGTTTTGTTTTTTTTCTCTAATACGCATTATATATCTCTTCTTAATAGAGCAGGTGTTGCTATTTTAATATATGACAAAATAAAATTGTATTTTTTAATTACTTGATTGTCTCTGCCCCCTAATTTTGATAAAATGATCTGTGTGCTTTAAAGGTCTTGGGCTTATCCCAAGTGGCGTTGTCAGACAATTTCAGCTTCTCAAGTGTTATAGACCGCTCGTCTCTGCCACATGTGTAAAAACAGTTGTGCGTACACATCACCCTGTTTTCTGTGGGTTACAAATATTAAAGTCCAATTAAATCTTCCATAGTTTTAGACATATTCGAAACACAAAATAGTCAGTACAGTTACACTAGCCTGTTGCAAACTAAAAATCTTTAAAAGGTAAGCTAAAGGCTAAGTTGTGGGGACCAGCTGACTATGCGTCTACATACTGGAAGTCTCCCGAAAGCATTATTTTCTGATGTCATTTCTAAATTTAAAAGGGAAATAACACACTTGCAAGAAAATAGTCCAACTGTGAATAAGTTGATAGATCTGTAGTGGCTATCTTAATTGTTAGTTTTACGCGTTGAGTTGGCCCGGAGAGAACCAACGACGGTAAAACAACCGTGTTGCTCCGCCGTCCACACTCGTTTGTTTTTCTTCCTTACCGCTTCCTTCAAACTTCAAAATAAGAGTTCCAATACAGAAGTTGCACCGAAATACCAAAATAAACACAAGAATGACAGAATAACATGTTATAACATAAACAAACTTGCTACTAATAAATGGCACTTACAAAATCTTTCCTGAAAATTAAGTCCTTGTCTGTCCACCTCCACCCTCTTAATCTACCACTTGTTGGATTTTTTTTTTTTAATAGTAATAAGGTATTAAAATTAAGACTTGGACACATTAGTTTGTAGTGATCTGATTTGAGTCGTGGGCTTAACATGTTCTGTGCTGACACAAGTTTGATTACTGGACAACTACTTTTTTCCTCAACATGCTTACAGTTTATCTCTTTAATGAGATAAGGAGGAGATGACTGCTGACGTACTGCGGTAAGCGTGTCGACTCATTTCCGTTTCCGGTGCTTGTGTGTTGGTACCGTGTTGTGCTGCTCTCGCTAAATAACAGTTACATTTGTTAGATTACAGCAGCCAACTGTTCGCTAAACACTTAGGCAAAATTACTGTAAAGAATAAGCACTCAGTTCTTTCCTCCTTTTAGTGACTGCTGTTCAATCTCATAGTTGTTCTAAAGTTTTGGTAGCTGACGCTACAGTACTTTAGCTTAGCCGTTAGCGATGGCTTCTCCTTCTCCCTCTCTCTGTCCTACTTTCTCCTGCTCGGTGTGTCAGATGTTCAGTTACTCCTCTGCCTCCTTTAGCGGTAATGGTACATGTAATAAGTGTAGTTTATTTATAGACATGGAGGCGAGGCTCAGTGATTTAGAAGTCCAGCTCCGCACCTTGGTAGATCAGTCTTTAGCTACTGTAGCTAGCCAGTCCCCGGTATTTGGTGCGGAACGGCCTGAGTTAGCCTGTGGTAGCCGTCCCCTGGCATCCCCTGTGCAGCCAGGAAGGAAGGAATAGTCGTAAGCATTCAAAGTCCACGGGGCACCATCAACCTGATCACGTTTCTAACAGATTTTCCCCACTCAGCGACACACCCGCTGAGAAACCAACTCTGATCATTGGCAGCTCCATTTTGAGAAACGTGAATTTAGCGAAGCCAGCGGCCATAATTAAGTGCATCCCTGGGGCCAGAGCGGGCGACATTGAGTCTTATTTGAAACTGCTGGCTAAGGATAAACATAAATACAGTAAGATTGTTATTCACGTCGGCGGTAATGACTCCCGGTTACGCCAATCAGAGGTCACTAAGATTAATGTTGAGTCGGTGTGTACATATGCAAAAACAATGTCGGACACCGTAGTGTTCTCTGGACCCCTGCCAAATCTGACCAGTGATGACATGTATAGCCGCATGTCGTCATTCCGCCGCTGGTTGTCGAGGTGGTGTCAGGAAACGATGTGGGCTTTGTTGATCATTGGCAGACTTTCTGGGGAAGACCTGGTCTGATCCGGAGAGACGGCATCCATCCCACTTGGGAAGGAGCAGCTCTCATTTCTAGAAATCTGGCCAAGTTTATTAGTGGACCAAATCCATGACAACCCAGAGTTGAGACCAGGAGGCAGAGTCGCAGTCTAACACACTTCTCTGCTCCTCCATTTCAGGAGTTACTTAGTGAAAATCCTATAGTGACGGTGTCTGCCCCCCGACCATCGAAATTATTTAAAAAGGCAAACAGAAGAGGAGCTGTGCATAAAAACCTCATAAAAATTAAAACCACAAGAGCAATAGTGCAAACGAATAGGAGAGTTAAATGTGGACTCTTAAACATCAGATCTCTCTCTTCTAAAGGTGTACTAGTAAATGAACCAATATCAGATTATGATATTGATTTATTTGGTCTTACTGAAACCTGGCTGGGTGATGGAGAATATGTTAGCCTAAATGAATCCACCCCTCCCAGTCATATTAATACTCACATTCCTGGAGGCACAGGCCGAGGAGGTGGAGTTGCAGCTATCTTCGACTCTAGCCTACTAATCAGCTCTAAACCTAAACTATAACTCATTTGAAAGCCTTGTTCTTAGTCTTTCGCACCCAAGTTGGAAATCACTGCAACCAATTCTTTTTGTTATAGTGTACTGAGCACCTGGCCCGTATTCTGAATTCTTAACTGAATTTGCAGAGTTTTTGTCAACTTTAGTCCTTAAAACGGACAAAGTTATTATTGTAGGGGATTTTAATATTCATGTGGATGTTGAGAATGACAGGTTTAGTACTGCGTTTATCTCTGTTAGATTCCATCGGCTTCTCTGAGTGTTCATGAACCGACTCACTGTTTTAACCACACCCTCGACCTTGTTTTGGTGTATGGTATTGAAATTGAACGTTTAGTGGTGTTCTCACAGAATCCCTCTTTATCCGACCACTGTTTGATAACTTTTGAGTTTGTATTGCTGAACTACTCGCCATTGGGCAAAAATTTCTATACAAGATGTCTGTCTGATAGTGCTATAGCTAAATTTAAGGATGCGATTCCATCAGCTCTAAATACATTATCTAGTCACAAAGTAACGGAGGACTCCTATGCTAATTTCAGTCCCTCCCAAATCGATCATCTTGTTAGTGCTGCAGGCTTGCTGCGAATGACACTGGACTCTGTAGCCCCTCTAAAAAAGAAAATACTAAAACAAAGACGGTTAGCTCCATGGTATAATACTGAAACTCGCAAATTAAAGCAAATATCACGGAAACTTGAGAGGAATTGGCGTTCCACCAAAGTGGAAAATTCTCGTTTAATTTGGCAAGATGGTCTTAAAACTTATAGGAAGGCCCTCCGTAATGCCAGAGCAGCGTACTACTCGTCATTAATAGAGGAAAATAGGAATAACCCCAGGTTTCTTTTCAGCACTGTAGCCAGGCTGACAGAGAGTCACAGCTCTATTGAGCCAAGTATTCCCATAGCTCTCAGTAGTTACGATTTCATGAGCTTCTTTAATGATAAAATTCTAGCTATTAGAAACAAAATTCACCAAGACCTGCCCTCAACTGGCACCGACTTATCTCTTAACTCAGGAACCTTAGAAACAGCTGTAGAACCAGATACATGTTTAGACTGTTTTGCTTCCCTCAATCTTTACCAACTAACTTCAATAATTTCTTCATCTAAACCATCAACCTGCCTCTTAGACTCCATCCCGACTAGGCTGCTTAAAGATGTTTTACCCTTAGTCAGCACCTCTATACTAGATATGATCAATCTATCTTTATCAACAGGCTATGTACCACAGTACTTTAAAGTAGCTGTAATTAAACCTCTTCTGAAAAAGCCCAAACTTGATCCGGATGTTTTAGCCAACTATAGACCTATATCTAACCTTCCATTTCTCTCTAAGGTTTTGGGGAAAGCAGTTGCTAAACAGCTGTGTGACTTTCTACAGAGCAATGGTTTATTTGAGGATTTTCAGTCAGGATTTAGAGCTCATCATAGCACAGAGACAGCACTGGTGAAAATTACTAATGACCTCCTTATTGCATCAGACAAAGGACTTGTCTCGGTACTGGTTTTATTAGATCTTAGTGCTGCATTTGATACCATTGACCATCAGATCCTATTGCAGAGACTGGAATATTTCATTGGCATTAAAGGAACCGCTCTAAGCTGGTTTAAGTCCTATTTATCAGATCGATTTCAGTTTGTACATGTTAACGATGAGTCCTCCATGCACGCCAAAGTTACTCATGGAGTTCCTCAAGGATCTGTCCTTGGACCAATCCTCTTCACTTTATATATGCTTCCTTTAGGCAATATTATCAGGAAACATTCCATAAGCTTTCATTGTTATGCAGATGATGCTCAGTTATATCTATCGATCAAGCCAGATGAAACTCATCAGTTAGCTAAACTTCAAATGTGCCTTCAGGATGTTAAAACCTGGATGACCTGTAATTTTCTCATGTTAAACTCAGATAAAACTGAAGTTATTGCTCTGGGGCCTAAGCACCTCCGTGACGCATTATCTAAAGATATAGTTTCCCTGGATGGCATCGCCTTGGCCTCCAGCACCACTGTGAGGAATCTTGGAGTTATCTTTGATCAGGACATGTCGTTTAAGTCTCACATTAAGCAAATTTCAAGGACCGCCTTTTTCCACCTACGTAATATTGCGAAAATCAGGAACATCCTGTCTAAAAATGATGCAGAAAAACTAGTCTATGCATTTGTTACTTCTAGGCTGGATTACTGCAATTCCTTATCAGGCTGCTCGAAAGTCCATTAAGACTCTTCAGCTGATCCAGAATGCTGCAGCACGTGTTCTGACAGGAACCAGGAAAAGAGATCACATTTCTCCTGTTTTAGCTTCTTTGCATTGGCTTCCAGTAAAATCCAGAATAGAATTTAAAATCATTCTTCTTACCTACAAAGCTTTTAATGGTCAGGCACCATCTTATCTTAAAGAGCTCATAGTACCTTACTACCCCACCAGAGCACTGCGCTCCCGGAATGCAGGGTTACTTGTGGTTCCTAGAGTCTCCAAAAG